AGAAGCTGTTTCAGTACGAGTCTCAGACCTTCAGTCCGAACAGAAGTCGTGAGACGAATTCTCCGCGCACTATCCATTTCAAAAATTTATCTTTCTAAAATCATTCAAATTGAACAAGTCTCATTGAACGTGACACAATCTTCATAACTTCATCAGAGAATTTTTTCAAATTTCATATTATGAGTAGTCTTGAAATTACTATTCATACTGCTTAACGTTTTTAATGCTCAAATTACTATACTAGGTAATTAGAATGAGTATCAATCCATATGGCAAAACATGCGCCTTCAAGTTTAATTATACGAGCTAAAGTTAAAATGCAAAAAAACTCTCAAACTTAGAAGCTAATTTATAATGCGATATTTTTTTGCTAGTTCTAATCATGTGTTGGGCATTGTGCGAATCTCTTCGTATGTCCATTGATAAATTTCTTATTTCGCAAGAGATTAATGCTGATGTCTTCACAAAAACCAATTGATCAATACTGCGTCAAAACTCAGCGAATTAAAAATATACTGTTTGTAAGCCTCCATAGAAATCAGAAAAAAATCATTCTTTTTTATCTGAATTTAAGTTTAGTTTATCTAATAGTGACTTCAAAATTAATTTCTATCAATAGAAATTTGATATATTTTGGTATCATGTGAAAGCAGGTTAGACTATGACTTTATAGATATATTCGAAAATTTTAACTTCTGATTTTGGCAAGGCCTGAGCGTGAGTGCTGTCAGCTGAATGGAAGATTATATTCTCGTCATATCCCAATCATAATTCGATTTTTTTGTGGGAAAGTGAAAATGCTAGTCAACTGCAACTCTTCGAGTGAATGATAACTTGATTTAGAAGATTTCAATTTTCCACTAGTGTTATCTTTGGATACCAAAATCGAATTATTATCTGATATAGTGGGATATCGTACAATTTTCTACCGTACAACAAGGGCTGTACTAGTCGAAGAAGATGCCAAGAATAAGATGTGGCGCAGAACTTAAGATAGACGTAAGTGAATTTTATTTATGATAAAGTTAAAATTAAGAACAGAAGTAGGCAGTGCAGAATAAGCTCAGGTATAGTCAGTTAAGGATAAGGTTAAGATTAGGATTAGAAATAGGCATTACGGGACAAGTTAAGGATAATGCTAAGGATAGGATTAGAAATAGGTAGTTAGGGATAATGCTAAGATTATGATTAGAAATAGGTAGCTATAGATAAGCTCACGGATAGAAGTGGCGCGCAAAAGACAAGGATAAGTAGTTGAATAGGGAACCAATAGATAGCGGAAGGTATAGCAACTAAAATGAACTGTTCTCTGGAAGTCTAGAACCATTTTTTGGGAAAATAGAAAAAAGTTTTGGATAAAACCAGATTTGGGCTTGAACCTTAGAGGGTTCTGAAAATGGCACCGAAATCTAGAACCTTATATGGTTCAGTATGACGCCTTTTTTTTTTACAGAGTACGTATTTTAAATTCGATTACAAAGATAATCTTATATCTCAACTGAAGAAAAATATTTGAAGATTGCGTGATCACGAACGTTCTCTATAATATCTCGTTTACATTGTTATTCTTAAAGCAACTATACTAAAAGATTTGATATTGATACACATGAAAAGAAAGTCTACGAAACGATACGTTGCTCCATCAAAAAATATAGATCTAAAAAGAATTTACTTTTTTTCAAGATTATAATGAGTAGTTGACGTGAAAACTCTTTTTACACGAATTGCTGGGGAGACATAAGTTCGTCTTATTATTCTACTTCTGTTTTCTTACTGAAAGTTAGATTATCGTATTTAGTAGATTTTGCTCGTTTTTGAATAGTGTACTTTTTTATTAGGTTATTACGAAATAAAAATCTATGAACCGACGTAAATGTTTTTCGATATCATCATTTACAGAGTCCTTTTCGAATCTTAGTGAATTCAGTTCGATACATTTCTGATGGGAGAATAAATATAATGAAGAGTAAAGTTGATGGAATAAATGAAGTAAAATAGCCAATTAAATAAAACCAAGCATCTCTCGTAGATTTCATACATCCTGATGTTAATGATAGAATTATACGTGGAGCAGCTAATAGAACGAGAATTATTGATGAAATAAGAGTATGTTTATGATGTTGAAATTGTTCACGTAAAAGTCTTATGAATGTTTGATTTTTCTTTACATTTGATCGAGTACGCGTTGCAGAAATAATGATAATTATTGACGAGAAAAAATTGATTGAAAATGGTAAACATATATGAAATACTGTAATCGTATTATCAAATATTTGTAGAAATGATGAATATTTTGTAACACATAATGTGCGTTGTGCTTCTTCATCATTTACAAGTTGACGATGAATAAGATCATGAACATGTGTTATAAATGTTCCAAATAAAACAATGTAAATCATCCGTTTAGCAATTCTTTTACTTTTGATTTTGTTAAAAGTAATACCTTGAAAAGCATTTAAAGCTCGTTCGATAGCAACACAACAATTTAACCAATCTCCATTACTCAACAAGAATCGAAGAAGAAAATCAAGCATCCGACATTGAACACGAATAATCATATCTGTATTGAGAAGTCCCATTTGAAACGTAAGAAGAAAGAAGAATTTGATTACAAATACAGTTAATGTTATCATTGATGTAATCGATGACGCATACAGATACAAACCACAACCAACCTCACGTGTTTTCTTTGTTCGAAATGTCAAAAATGAAAAGAAACTACTGAGGATGCCTAAACAGAATATAATAAAAGTGATTACCATCGCAATTTTAACAACAAATGGTTGTTGATTAAGTTTCATATGAGGAAGAATTCGATAGCCCAATATTGCATCTAATGTCAGAGATAATCCTTTTGTTGAGAACTGACAAACTAATCCATAATGACAATCAGGGCAAGCGCATACGAATGATGTAGGACATTTCATATCATTCAAAAAACAATGACCACCATTTTCACACAAATTGTGATTTTCACAATCGTATACAGCATTATGTTGGAAATGTAAACAGTTTGTTTGATGAGACAGGTCACATAAACAAATTTCAGTCGAATCATAAAAACAAACGAGATTGAAATATTTTTGACATGGAATATGATAATATTTGATTCGTTTTAATAAGTGTAGATGAACTATACTCTCATTGAATAATTCAGATATTGAGACACATCGATGTGATGGAATGTTTTTTGTACTAATATGAGCTGAGACAATAGGCTCAGACTGCAGAACGATAAGATAATAGCTTTTAGATATTTCAGCAAAAGCCATATGAAATACGATTGAAGTTTTGATTGAAAGTGAATTTTGATCAAAATCGATCTTTTTTACTATACTGTGCTGAACAAGTTCCTTTTGAAGTTTTTGGTAGATAAAATGAACAAATAATGATGTTGGAATAGTTATTTTCTTATCAAATGATATATGAATTTCAGTTGGTTTCGTTCGTTGTAGTTCACATCGTTTTCCGTGATATTCAGGTGTACAGATACAAATTGTATGATCTTTACCAAGAGTTTTGTGTCGTTCATCATCCGGCACACATTGACCACCATTCATACATGTTTTACGATCACACAAATAATGATGAAGATAACATCGAGGACCATATCGATTAAATGGACATACACATATTGACCGGTCGACACATAATGAATTAGGTGCACACTTACATATAGATTGATTTGTACACTCAAGGCCTGACCAGCCTGGTTGACATAGACAATATGTCATACTTTGATTATTAACATAGCTGTAGCATTGACCATGATTGCATTTTAATGCACAAGTTCTCAAAGGTAGAGAATTAGAAAAAGGAATGAAAAGTTTAACCGATAAACGATATGCAGGTAAAAATGAAAATTGAATAGGATAAATCCAACTAGCACGATAAGACATTGTCATTTTATTAAAGCCATGAATTTGCACTGAATAATGTCTTGATGAGTTTTTTGGTCGAGTTGAATAGAGCAAATAAACATCGAATTTTATCTTACAATCTCTAACTGGCAAATATTCGATAAAATCATGTGATTGAATTTGTCCTTCATTATCGATCAAAATTATGATGAATACGAAGACATTGTGTCCGTCTGATGTTGCTTGAATTTGTAATGTAAGACTGACACGTTCATTATCATATTGACATTTATCACCATAGTAACTCGGTGGACAAAGGCAAGTTAGTTTAGATTGATCTAGATCTATACCAATCTGGATTGGTTCACCATAATTACGCAACGCTCGATCATCCATATTCCGGATATTGATCATCATATTGCTTTGAAACGGATTTATTCGTGTCTCGACTGGTACTATAAATGTGGTAGTAGTTGTTGTTTTAGTCTGTGATAATAGTGGGTAGGTCGGCATATTATACATTCTGAAATGCGCGTTATATTCTATATGGCTTGATCTACCCATTTGACAGAGAAATTTGTCTCTTTCTATGTGAGAAGATATAGAGCTTGAGCGGCATAACGAGCTATATTTATTGGTGCGATTTCTACAAATATCTTCGTCATCAGCAAACCTACAGTTTGGCTCTCCATCACATAGGGTCTGTATATTAATACATTGAGTATCATTGAAACAGCTAAATGTTTCAGGACAGCGCTTTGGTTCATCTGAAGCTCCTAGGCAATCGACAATTCCATCACCCGCTCTGTCAATGGGTAAGCATGATAATACAGATGTGTCGTTGAAAAAGATGCAGGGATGATGAAATGGTGGACAAAGTGAATTTCGACAATTGGCTTCATCAGCTCCATCTCTACATAACCAAACACCATTACATCTGCTATATGCGTTGTTGCATTGCCACTTTTCGCATCCAGTCTCGTCAGTCTCGTTAGATCCATCTATAAGCATAGGGCCTAAATCGATTCTTCCATCACATATAAATGAAAAACTGATGCGTTCTACAAAGAGGCAGTGGATGAACCATTTATAAGTTTCGAGATTAGAATAATCACAAACGGACCGACCGCACTCAATACCTGTTGGTGCTTGACATGTTATTGGGTCAGTATTTGAGCATTTTAAACGATCATGAGCATCGAGAAACAAACAACTCTCATTGAATGTTTCATCATCATCGAACGGACAATCTGATATGGTATCGACTAGACGATGTTTTGAGATGCATTTTGTTGAATTTAAACACTGGTATAGATTTGAGTTATTGCAAGAATAAGTTTCGTTAGGTATCACTAAACATCTGTGAAATAGTTTTCTCAAGTTCATCCTATATAGGTCCATAGGATGAACTGGATCCACTGCTTCCCACTTAAATTCGTGAAAATGGCGACAAGCCGAATCATTCAAATAAATTGAAGCCGGAAGAAAATCACTACAAAGTGCTTCATTGTAGCATACATAGTTTGGTAAAAGAAGGTTTTCTGAGTTGATATGTAGATCGCTAGTATTGAACATAAAGCGTACATGCCCAAAGAGAATAGGACCAGGAGGGAATTCGTATATTGTTGGACATTCCTTTGTTATACAATCAGTTTCTAAGCAAACATCTGCGCACGAAGTGATTTCCGTTAAACAGCCGATAATCTTTGAACAAATATCAGTAGACAATGATTGATAAAAACCATTTACAAACAGCAATCCTCCTTTGAATTGAGGCTGAAAAGATGTTTCAGAACCTTTTATCTGTTTCGGATCGGACGTAGATTCTTTACATCGAAAAGCAGGGTCTTTATCGCAAAATTTGTAGTAAATATAGAAAACAATTTCGTCTGTTCCATCTTGACAATCTGGATTCAAATTATCATCAAAGGCGAAGTCCTTTGGAATGCATTGACCATTGTAACATCGGTATTCATTCGAAGAACATTCGTTTATTTCTAGCTGCCAACAGTTTGACTCATCAGATCCATCGAAACAATCCATTTCCTGATCACAAATATCGCGCCAGTCTAAACAGAACTGAGATGACTTGCAGCTATGATGTTTATAGCACGGAATATTTATCTCAGTTATAATTGAATCTCCGAATCCGATGCGGGAATAGACCGTCTCGTTAAATGATTCTTCATATTTCAATTCGAATGTGAAATGACAGAGAGGTCCAAACCAGTTTGATGTACAGTTGTAGAATAACATTTTGTCGTCGATTAATAATGAATGCGAAACATTATCTAGAAACATTTGGTAACGTTCAGCTAATTCAATAGGAGCTAACCACGATAATAACATTTGACTACTTATATTTTGTTTTCGTAATTCGCCGAACGTATAGTTAGAATGATTAGAATTAGTAAAGTTATCATCAATGACGAGAGGAACATCTTCTGATGGTCGAAGACAATACGGAATTATTTGATGATAATCACTAGGATTCACAGCGTAAATAGGGAAGTGATATTTAGGGTCATAGTACAACAGACAAAATCCATTTTGATTTTGATCCGTGTTGTACATATTCATTTGAAATCCCGGCTTTGCATGAACATGTCGTACTAATAAAAAATATATTAGTAACATCCTCGATATGAAAAATATATAATTATAATGAAGATTATTTTGCTGACATCCAAACATTTTGTGTCTATCTCTATGACAAAAAAAAAACACTATTAAAATGTATCATTTGATAAAAGTATGACAATAGGTTTTAACTAAATCTATTATGTATGTGATGCATGATTTTTTTTACAAATAAAGATTAGATTTCATCAATACTAAATAACGTGTCTGACAACTTTTTTTTTCATGCGTCATGCAAATAGATCGATAAAAGTAAATATACCAAGCAGTTAATAAAAAAAATCTTCTATTCCACCTGAAGTAAAAATCGGTGTGAAGCTAGCACGACGGAGCTAGCATGACGAAACAGTATGTTGCCTGAAAACTTTTTTCTGAAGTATGTCCCGTCCATGAAACCTAGTCCATTCGATTCAGAATTTAATTCTGCATTGAATGCTGATACTTTTATTCATGGGACATACTTTGGAAAAATTTCAGTTAGAGCTTTGTCTCAATTAAGAAATCAACTAAGATGTAGGTAAAATTTTTTCCAAAGTACGTCCCATGAATAAAAGTATCAGCATTCAATGCAGAATTAAATTCTGAATCGAATGGACTAGGTTTCATGGACGGGACATACTTCAGAAAAAAGTTTTCAGGCAACATACTGTTTCGTCGTGCTAGCTTCACACCGATGTAGAGAGAGGAGATTTTCTATATCAATCAGCAAATGGAATTTCGGTGATAAAATGGATGGACAGGAAAGAAGTTTTCGTTGTCTCAAATTACTTTGATTCCGAAGAATCAAGTGAAGTTACTCGATGCTGTAAAGATGGAAGTAAAAAGTCAAAGAGAAACTGGATGAGAATATTTTTTCATTTTCTTCGAATGTCAGCAGTGAATTCATTTATCTGTTATAATAATCTGTCTGATAGTACTAATATTAGTGTAGTAAAATAAATATACAAGTAACGCGATGACAACATCGCTGACCCTCTACTGAAAGGAATTGATATTGTGAAGCTTATAGTGTGCATGCACGGGGTTGTATAAACAATATGACAGCTTGTGTATATCTCTCGGATATATACAGAGATAAAAATAAGTAACGCTCACCCTTTTCTGAAAGACTTTTCCGAATGCTGAACACATTCAGAGACTTCGAAAGAGAAAAAACGCACTGCGATTGCTACTGGTGCTCAACTGAATCATGGTACTATGTCACACACTAGAACTAGAATAAATAGGATACAGAGGCCTTTCTAGGCACCAGACCGATTAGCCATTTGTCAGTGGATAATTCTCCAGCACTAACTATGTTGACTGAAAAATTCATCGCTCAACGGCCAGTCAGTCGCCCACTCGCGACCAACCATTGACCTTTGTCATCTGTTTTTCTATTTTCATATCACGCGCATGGAAATTTTCATAAATGCTTTACTAAGTCACTCGTACACAGACGATATACAGTAGACTGCTTGAAAAGTGTGAACATTCGCTTGTGCCTTCCAGCGATAAACCGATTCTTTTCTCTCCTGTCAACGAAATGATACCTTGTCGAATATTTTCATTGAGGAATATTCATTCGTCACATCCCTTTCAAAGTTATCAGCAGCTTGGCAAGGTTATTCTAAGCGTACACTTTAGGATTAATCTAGCATTTAAACACCTAGTCGTTCGTCGACCTCCCTCCGGTCGGTCACTCGCGACTAGCCGTTGCCATGCTGTCTCTGTTGTTCCTTTCGCCTTCGAGCGACTTTCAAACTGAACGATTGGGTTTTCTTTTATTGTCGCTTCTGCAGTCATGATCTTCTATTCATTCGACTACCCAAAGAAACTAGATAAGAAAGTCTTATTGTACGATTTGCTTCGAAGCGAACATCTTTCATAGCGCTGCAGGTGTTCAGGATACTGTTTCTACAGTCCACGCGTCTGTAGTTACTAAGATGGAATTCCACCGACGGGCATATCACTTTACGAACCACTTCTACTAAATTCCCATGAAAGAGCATGATGTATGTAGCCTACAAAGCAAAGATGATACTAAGCTCATATCACTTCGCATTTCTTGAATTAGAAACATCATTATGTACAATCCATTAGATCTTTTCGTGTAAGTTCTTGAGCTACTATTTTTGTACACATGATGTCCGTGAATAGCGTTCAGCTCACCATCTTCTACAAAAGATTTTATAACAGAAAAAGAAAAATATCTCCTTTGTAAAGAGGAAGGAACAAGCCCAGGCTCAGCGAATAAAACAAAATTCGCCCTCACATCCGAATACCCCGACGGCAGAAATCCTTCGGTCTACTCTGGAAATGGATGTTAATAAGTCGTGGCTAGTTAATGAAAAATGAATAATTAATTAAGAAACACTAACGTCGGATTCGAGATCCTCGACCCTGATTACCCTTCGGTCGACCCTTACTCGACATCCAAGAAAATTTTCATTACTTAATTAGCTAATTAGCTAATGAGCTGATTGGAATTTCGAGAAACTAACCTCGGATTCGTGATCCTCGACCCCGATTACCCTTCGGTGAACCCTTATAAAAAAAGATTTTTTCGCAAAAAAAAGTGATCCCTTGTCCCAAAAAACGAAGCAAAAAGTTTTTCGAAAAACTAACCACGGATTCGTNTGGTTACGAAAAAGTCTCCAGACAGGTTCACTATTACAAAGACGCAATAAAAAGTTCTACGGAACCATTAAACAATCTTCCCGTGTTTCGAAGGGAAGAACCTTCTACTGCTATACCTTTTTTTAAGTTCAGCATACCAAAAACAGGTTCCGTAGCAAAATGCAAAATTTATGGGGTTTCATATCGAACTATACAAGGACATTAAGGTTCGGCACGAAACTATTATATTTTCCTAAAGAACTCTGAAAGTTTGGTATTATGCTACGGAACCTGTTTTCGGTATGCTGAACTTAAAAAAAGGTATAGCAGTAGAAGGTTCTTCCCTCCGAAACACGGGAAGATCCTTTAATGGTTCCGTAGAAATTTTTATTGCGTTTTTGTAATAGTGAACCTGTCTGAAGACTTTTTCGTAACCACGGAACTTTTTTTGAGGGTTCAGTAGAGCACTAATTTTTTTAGAGTGCATTTTCACTAGCAGATTCGTGCTCATCAATAATTTCACTGCGACAAACGCACTTGCCATTCCTGTATTCAGAAATCTTCTAACACCTTCGATTCAAGTACTTGCTCAATGCTTGTTCATATTGACCGGCCATATACTATCTCATGAAAATTGTTTCAGCAGGCTACAATATGTGCGTAGAAATATACGCTACAAAAACGTATATAAGAAGGCAAATTTCCGGCTATTTTCACGACATTTTGTGGCCTCGGAGTTGCTGAACAACGTATATTAGAACTTTTTTATTCAGACTTTGCCGCTCGTAACAGTTCGTTCGCTGCGAGAAATGCATGGACGTCGAAGAAATCACCTTTTAGGAGCATTTTGATGAAACTGAAAAACGTCATCTCTATCTCATGTGAGGATTCGTCATCTTTCGTGAGAAGATAGAGTTCGATGAGCTGAATAGCTCCTCTAAAAGGAGTAATAGTCAATCTTTGATTGTAAAGATGCTATAAGATTTGCTAGTTTCTCTCTAGCTAACATAGCTGGGATGATCCGAATTATCCCAAGTTGGTTTTCTCGGAAAAAATGGTGTTTTCAACGGCTGACATCGTGATGATCACTATGCTTCTGTAACTCATCAGTTCGACATGATATTCTCAGGTCCCATAGAAGAGAACATGCGCTCTCCAATGGTACCATTTTTTAGGTTAAAAGCATGAGAAAAAATTGCATTATGAGCTGGGGAAATAAGTTATTCTCATTTCTGCTGGAATGATCCGAATTACACCAAGTAGTTTATATAAGTGATCCGATTTGTCCAAACTAGGGTAATTCGGATCACTTTTTGCATCTATTTAGTATTTTGATCAATACTTTTTTCTGGTAATTGCTATCGAGGAGATCGTTTCGCCAGTTGATAGAGCATGTTCTGTTCTAGTCGCGATTCAGAAGTAAGCTTTCTATCACAACTAACAACGAAGAACGAATCAAAACATTTTCAATCACTGCCATTTTGATCCCAATTACCCCAGCTGACTCTATATACGTATCTTAAGGGTGTGAAGAAACAACAACATCACATTCTTATCTAATGTAAGTGAGAGTATTATCAGCGATGGTCTAGTATACTTGTGACGAATTATGAGAGTGATTGCCTATGTTTTTCGATATGATGGTGTGTTGTGTCATCTACACACTCATAATCGTATCGTTTCTTTATTGAACATAACTTATGTAGGAAATATCGCGCATAACATAACAAAGAGAGGACAAGCTCAATATCTACGAATAGGTCGCATAGATGAACTATGAATGACTATCATTTTCCCAAAATTGTGGTTCCCAGAATTGGTCCACAATTATGGACTTTATTTGTGGACCAATTCTGGGAACCACAATTTTGGGAAAATGATAACCTACCGTGAACTATAGATATACACTGACCGTTACAACACCCTCACCCCTTATTTATTATTACAAAAAATAATGTAAAATTTCTCCTGATTGGTAGAAAGACATGGGCTATTCTGTATTATGATGTTTTATGTTCTCTGAGTATTTGAATTATTTATAGATTTTTTCAATCAAAAAAGTTATATGACTTCGAATTTCTGTATATAATAACAAAAACAAGTCTGGATTGAAACCTCGAAAAGACGAAGGAAAAAAAATTCGTTTATGACTTGCCTTGTCAAAAACATTTGAAGTTTTTTTTCTTGTTCGTCATATATTGCTTTTTCACCGAGAAAAAAAAGAACAACATTACATAATGAAAAGCTAACGTCATAGTGTATTTCTCTATGCAATGTGTTAAAAACTAATTTTGAATATTTTATTATATCTTTTTATTCAGTCAATCAAAAAGAGAACGATTACTATTTTTCCCCATAGAAATCATGTACCGTATGTATATATTAAAATACTCTAAAAAACCAAAGGTGATGTACATCAAAAGAAAACGATGAGAGTACGTAGAATATTCCTGAGTATATTCGAATCGAGGGTGAGGTTTTTCCTTTTTAGGGTACTCTGGTTGACCGAAGTGTCCGTTGAGATGCGACAGTTGGGTTTTAGCAGAAATCGTCGATTTCTGTGCCCATGGAATTCCGGTCTGAAATACTGCATTTATTTTCCTGTTGTTTTGCGTTCGGTTCTGTTATGAAAGGAGGGAACTGTCCGGAACGTTCGTGCTGGAGTGTTTATGAAAAGAAAAAGTCTAATAACATCATGTTTTTTCTGTTCTTTCACCTTTAGTACAGAAGTATTCGCATAATTTTAATGAATCTTCGGTTTCTCGACGATTAAAACGGTTTTGAATTTTCAAGTAATTTTTTTCTTTAGAAAATATCTATGGAAAATAATTCTACAACATCATTGACATTCAATAACGACGATCTATTGGTTGTATGTCTAAATGATAATTCTCCAAATCAAGTAAATGATCCTTTTATTAACATATATGATGATTTAAACAATTTAACAAATAATGTTAAATTATTTCATGATAAAGATGAGTATATTAACTATATAACATCGATCAAATCAAAACTACATATATTTCTTATCATACTTTCTCCTGATGTATTTGTTCATCCAGATGTTCTTGGATTTTCACAAATTAGATTTATTTATGTTCTTTATATCAATGAAACTGATCGTAATCATGATCATATTCATAAATATGTAAAAGAACAAAATATATACGATGATAAAAATTTACTTATACGAAAAGTGAAATATGATATGAAGCAAGTTTTAGAAGATCTTTCAACACATTTGACATTTTACAATATTAAAGAACGATCTCTCAAAGATTTATCAAAAGAAAATCAATACTTTATGTATATGCATTTGTTTTATGAAATTCTATTACGTGATTCAAAACCAAATGAAGCAAAAGAAGAATTAATCCAAGAATGCCGACAATCCTATAAGAATAATGAAAAACAATTGAGATTCATTGAAGAATTTCGAGAAGAAGATATTTCAAAAGCAGCTATTAAATGGTACACACGAGATAGTTTTCTCTATCGTCTTTTAAATCAAGCATTAAGATGTCAAAATTTTGAAATGATTTACAAATTTCGATATATTATTAAAGAACTGTATGATCAACTAAAACGTTTACACGAAAAACAAGCCAAGATATTAAAGTCTCTTGGAAAAGCCTATCGTGGTCAATTATTACATAGAAATGAACTGGAACATCTGAAACAAAATGAAGGAATATTAATATCAATGAATTCATTTTTATCAACAACAATAGAAAAGGAAGTTGCATTAACATTCATACTTGGAGCAGATGAAAATGAATTAGTACCTATTTTGTTTGAAATAGATATGACAGATGTTGAATACAAGTCAGCTCCATATGCTTATATACGACGATATACTTATATGAAACATGAAAAGGAAATTTTATTTTCAATGGATTGTGTCTTTCAAGCAAAGAAAGTAAACATATGTGAAGAATTTGGTACGAAATATTATGTTGTTACATTGATTACTACTAATAAACATGAAGATGATAATGAACTGAAAAAATTAATGAATTTTAAGAGTTACGAACTTGAATGTTTTCGAAACGATTTATCCGCTTTAGGTTTCCTAATGGAAAAAATGGGATATTATGAACAAGCGAAATTTTTTTATAGATTAAAAGAAAAAAATTCATCAAATGATCAGATAAGTTCTGCGACATCATCCGTTGAATTTGCGTTAATTGAAGATATTCAAGGAAATTACGCTGAAGCTTTGAATAGTTTAAACAAAGCATTAGAAATTCAACTGAATGTCTTACCAAGAGATCATAGAAAAATCACAGTGATATATAGCAGCATTGGAAGAGTTTATCAACATCAAGGTGCCTATGATAATGCTTTGAATTGTTATAGAAAAGCATTGACAACTTCTTTACAAATACTTTCGAATGATCATCCACTTGTTGCCAAAGTCTGTTGTAATATTGTTGCGGTCTATTGTGAACAAGGAAAATTTGCTGAAGCTTTGAACTATTGTGACAAAACGATCGGCTTTCTCAATTATTTACCTGATAATCATCCAGATATTGCATCAGTAAGCAATAATATTGCAGTTATTTATCATCATCAAGGCAGGTATGTTGAAGCTTTGAAATACTTCGAAGAAGCACTTCGTGTTCGTCAAAAAACTTTACCTGAAAATCATTCAGACATCGCATCATCATATAATAACATTGCACAAGTTTATGAAAGTCAGGGAGATACTGAACAAGCTCTAAAATATTTGAAGAAATCACTTAAAATTCGAAAAGAATCTTTAGGTGAAGATCATCCAGATACTGCAACTGTGTACAATAATATTGGAATGGTTTTATTTCATCAAGACGATTATGCTCAAGCGTTCATTGCTCTGAAGAAAGCACTTACTATTCAATTAAAATCTTTATCTGAAAATCATCCAGAAGTTGCAATAACATATAACAATCTCGGACAAATTTATAAAGAGCAAAAGAATTTCGAACAAGCTCTGGAATGTTATCAAAAAGCACTGAACATTTTTTCTACATCATCACTTGAAAATCATCGCAACATGGCAGCAGCATACAGCAACATGGGTTTAGTCTATCAAGATCAAGGCAAACTTGATCAAGCTATGGAATCTCATCAGAAAGCGCTCACTATTGTGCTCAAATCTTTATCTGAAAACCATCCAGATGTTGTAGTAATACAGAACAATATTGCTTTAGTACATTACAGTCGAAAAGAATATTCCGAAGCTTTAGCTGCTTTCCACAAAATGCTTGAAATTCAATTAGAATCTTCATCTATTAATTATCTAGCTATTGCAACCACATATAGCCATATGGCAATGATATATGGAACTCAAAAGAACTTTCCTAAACTCTGTCAATCTTGTGACAATACGCTTATTTTTGTTTTGCAGTATCCACGTGAAATTCATCCATGTGTTGTCAAGGTATATAAAAATTTGGGAGACGCCTATTATATGCAAGGCGAGTATGATTTATCTTTGTACTATTATGAGAACGCACTTGCAATTCAATTAGAATGTTTACCCAAAAATGATTTTAGTGTCGCTGAAATCTATATGAAAATGGCGGATGTATACTATAGCCAAGAAAAACGTCTCGAAGGTTATAAAGTTTATAAGAAAGGATGTGAAATTAAATTGAATTTGTTGCTTGAAAATCTTCCAGATCTATCGGCAACACATGACGGTATCGAAGAATCTCATAAATATCAACAACATTATACTGTTGCTGTGAACTTATGTGAAGATATACTTAAAATTCAATTATACTTCTTACCGGAAGATCTTCGAAGCATTGCAAATACATACAATCGATTAGGGACTATTCACAAACGTCAAAGAAACTATGAAAAAGCTCTACAACACTATACAAAAGCTCTTCACATTCAGCTAAATTCATTACCCGAAAATGATCCGGATATCACAAGAACATATTGGTTTATGGGCAATCTATTAGTTAGTGTAGCCATGAACAATCGCTGATAAACAATAACTCAGAACACATTATATAGTTTAGAATTTAAACTTTTCACAAATACTATAAGAAATTGAAAATATCAAATAAAATTACCGTAGTATACTAGATTAAATTCTCGATATATTCGTGTTATAGAAGAAAATAATTAGAAAGTGTAATCGATTTCTAATGCAACATGTACATCTATGATATATAGAAGGTAAACTGAATAGATAATGTGAACATGATTTGTGTGTATATAAATGTGAATATGTTAGGCTGAAATGAGATTATTATGTTCCTGATGAATGGTGTTCGTTCTGATTCTGAGCTATTTTTCGGATTAACGGTAAGAAACATTTACCAAGCCAATAGCTATGAAAGAAGTTGCTAGTTTACCTGACTTTGAATAGATAATAACGACATTTTTTGAATGAAGACGAGCAGGTTCATGTTGTTTCTGCGATACTTCTGTACGATCAACTTTGACTAGCTCTGGTAAGTCTAGAACTATAATAATCGAATTCATTACAATATTCAATTCTGATCGCAGACATCAATTAACAAGTAGCGCTCGCCGTTCCGACTCACTTAACCCTCGACTGTGGAGAACAGGTTTTTTTCGTGTTCACAATGTGGCACAAATTGATCTAACAATTTTTTATATACGAAGAAACCATTCAAATGTTTTTTGCAGATATATTTAGTAACTTTCGAAAACAAAATACTGAATTTTTTCTACTCTTTTTGGAGAGGCATAAAAAACCTCAATTTTATATTACCAATGCAATGTGCAATCAGAAGAAAGAAACGATGACGCAATACAATAAGCACTAGGGCCACTTCAATCGAACAACATCGCAACCATACACAACATATCAAATGCGCCACGAAGCATACAAAAGAGTCAAAAATATAGAACGTTAAACATTAATCTTAGTGTGCGCTAAGTCAATCCCACTTTCCAGGCATCCTCATCTATATCCTTCAGCCCATCAACTTCACCATCGCGAAACCACACGCTATTCCATCCAGAAATCTGCAGCTCCGCGAACAAGCAACTCTAACTCCAATTTATGAGTCCAACTGGAACAAACCCTCAACTACAAAAGAATGCTTTTACCATTAATACAAATTTACTACGAACGCCAACAACAATCATCACTTGCTCGTAGCAGTTTTCTTTCTTTGCCTTTGTCAAATTCCCATATATTGAATAGGTTTAACTCAATGAATTAGGATTACATTTGACACGTCTAACTCTAGCGAATGTATGTTTTGATATCTCTATTTTTCGCTTTCAGTGCATTTAGCTACGGTAATACATACGATCATTTATTCGTTGTTCTTTTATTACTCCTAAGATCAGTTGCAGTTGCATAAAAGTTGGAACACACTAGCCATTTCACCTGTCTTCTGACACCACTCCTAGCCATTCCAAACATCCATCAGCTTCATATTCCATTATAAACAAATCAACAAGAGCGGAACACCTAACCTACATAAAATCCTCAACTAAGGGAACAGGTCCGCCGATCATCGATTCCAATCACCTACGTCCAGACACCCACCCCAAAAAAGAACCGATCAACGGTTACCCACACCCATAGTTTCGCCTAAGATCCCCACCCCACCCACGCTCATACATCAACCACTATATTCACCCAAGAACCCCACCCACGTTCATACAATCACACATAGTTTCACCCAAGACCCACACCATCACCCTCACCCTCGCTTCGATGTACCAGGTTTTTATACATATCTCTCAGTACATCGTTATGGCTCGATGTCACATCTCTTGATTCATCGGCATCAAACAACTATGCATCAGACACGAACATTCAACAGATCATGAACAATCTGATGATTGAAACATAGGAGCAGTCATCCTATTCCGCAATGTTGAACATTTGGGAACCAGTTCCGCACACGGAATCGATTCCTACGATTCCGGAATTCCGTGTTTACACAAGTTCAATGAATTCCGGAATTCCTTCAGCCGATTCCGGAATTCCTAGCGATTCCGTGTATGACTGAATTCCGGAATTCCGTAAACGGAATTGGGTGGTGTATAGGGGAGATGATATGTGAGGGTGAAGGGGGGGGGTGTAATTCCGGAATTGGTAGGAATTCCGCGGAATTCCATGGAATTCCTAGCGATT